CAGTCTTGTACCTGCTTTCTCCACAAAATCAGTGGGTTAAGGAGTTAATCTGAGATACGCAAAATAACACCATTTGTTGTTTTTTAAAACTCAAGTTTCCAGTGACCTGGGTCCACCTAGAGTCTCAAATGTCCCACGTGAAAAAAAAGAAAAGAATACAACTCTGTACACCACATTGGAAAAGACATTCTCCCTACTTTCTAGGCTGAGTGACTTCAAATACTTCAACTGGGTTTCCATTGCCAAACCTATAACGCGAAGTATTTGATTTAGACAATTTTGTGACCTCTTGTAGGTCAATATGACTTAAGTGTAACACTAAAAAAGTAGGGAATTACTGACTTGTAAAACTTTCATCAAGCATATTAGGCCACGCAGATGCAGGGAGGTTAAGGAAGAGAGAGTCAAGCTACCCTCAACTCTAATACCTAACTTCTTTATTTATCCGTAGCAGTCTAATGGTTATGTGCTCGGCTGCTAAATGAAACGTTGGTGGCTCAAACACACCAGTCTCTCTGTAGGAGAAAAGTCCTGCTCCCATAAAAAGTATAGCCTTGGAAACCCTATATGGCAGTTCAACCTAGTCCTATAAGGTCACTATGAGTTGGAATTAACTTGACAACACACAGCAACAGCAATCTTCACAGAAGCAGCCACCCAGATCTTTTCTACCACACAGTGGCTACTGGGTTTGAACTGCTGATCTTTCACTTAGCAACTGAGCGCTTGACCAGTGTACCAACAGGGTTCCTCTGTAAAGTCTACAGCCTAGAAAACCCTTTGGGCCAGTTCTACTTAATCACACACAGGCCATGAGTTGAAAATTGACTCGATGGTTGTTGTTGTTAAGTGCCGTCGAGTCGTTTCCGACTCATAGCGACCCCGTGCACAGCAGAACGAAACACTGCCCGATCCCGCACCAGCCCCACAATCCATGCTATACTCGAGCCCATCATCGCAGCCACCGTATCAATCCATCTCATTGAAGGCCTCCCCCTCTTTCGTCGACCCTCCACCCTACCAAGCATGACATCCTTCTCCAGGGAATGGTCCCTTCTGACAACATGACCAAAATAGGTGAGACGAAGTCTGGCCATTCTTGCTTCCAAGGAGCATTCTGGCTGCACTTCCTCCAGGACAGATCTGTTAGTTCTTTTAGCAGTCCATGGTACTTTCAGCATTCTCCGCTAGCACCACAACTCAAAAGCATCAACTCTTCTTCGGTCTTCCTTATTCATTGTCCAGCTCTCACATGCATACCAGGCGATTGGAAATATCATGGCTTGTGTCAGGCGCACCATAGTCCTCAATGAGATAACCTTGCTCCTCAGCACTTGAAACAGTTCCTTCGCAGTTCACTTTCCCAATGCTACACGTTGTCTAATGTCCTGACTGCTGCTTCCATTGGCATCGATTGTAGAACCAAGCAACGTGACTTCTTTGACAACCTCAATCTTCTCTCCATTTATTGTGATGCTGTTCATTGGTCCAGTTGTGAGGATTTTTGTTTTCTTTATGTTGAGATGTAATCCATACTGCAGACTGTATTCTTCAACCTTCTTCAGTAGGTGCCTTAAGTCATCCTCACTTTCAGCAAGCAAAGTTTTATCATCTGCATATCTCAGGTTGTTAATGATTCTTCCTCCAATCCTGATACCACGTTTTTCTTCATATAGTCCAGCTTCTCAGATTATTTGCTCAGCATATAGACTGAATAAGTGTGGAGAAAGAATACAACCCTGACGCACTCCCTTCTTGATTTTAAACCATGTAGTGTCCCCTTGTTCCGTTTGAACGACAGCCTCCTGGTCAAGGTACAGATTCCTCATGAGTACAATCAAGTGCTCGGGGATTCCCATTCTTCTCAATGTTGTCCATAATTTGTCATGATCCACACAATCAAATGCCTTTGCATAGTCAATAAAACACAAGTAAACATCTTTCTGGTATTCCCTGCCTTGAGCCAAGATCCATCTGACAACAGCTATGATATCCCTTGTTCCACGTCCTCTTCTGAATCCGGCTTGAATCTCTGGAAGTTCTCTATCAATATACCGCTGCAAACGTTTCTGAATTATCTTCAGTAAGATCTTACTTGCATGTGATATTAATGATATTGTTCTATAATTTCTACATTCTTTGGAATGGGCACAAATATGGATCTCTTCCAGTCAGTTGGCCAGGTAGCTGTCTTCCAAATCTCTTGGCATAACTGAGTGAGTGCCTCCAATGGGGCACCTGTTTGTTGAAATATCTCAATTGGTAAGCCATCAATTCCCGGAGCCTTGTTCTTCGCCAGTTCTTTCATTGCAGCGATGGTACCTAACATTTATTCCTGGGTGGTGCAAATGGTTAACGCACTCAGTTGCTAACCAAAAGACTGGCAGTTTTAAGTCTACCCAGGGACACCTCGAAGAATGGCTTGGTGATGTACTGCTGAAAAAAATCAGATACCAAAGACCCTATGGGGTAGGTACAGTTTTACTCTGACACACATGGGATTGCCATAAATCGTAGTTAACAGTATGACAACTGGTACTGGTATTCTTATCCCAGACAGTGAAGAAGATCATTTAAGGAATGTGTAAAGCAATATTTTACTTCCTCTACCTTCTAGGAGAGGGGTTATATATTATATATGCTTTTGACTATCTACAGACAGTTGAAAGTCCCCAAGGAAAAATAAGTACACCCCCTCTTCACTTATCAACGTGGTTAGGTTCCAAAGACCAGGTTATTACACAAATATCAGCACTATGAAAAAACAGAGAATGACCACATCAGATCAAAAAACAGAGGACAACTATATCATTACATAACCGCCAAATTACATCCTTACATAACTGTCAACCCACGGAGAACCATGGCCCAGCCAAGTCAAAACATAATCTTAACCATCACAGCCAGTGCTACTCTCACTGTGCACCCCAAAGTTCAGTACGACCAGACTTACTTTGTTAATGCACAAAATACTCAGTAGATTTTTTCACTATTGTGGTAAATGTGAAATGACAGAAGAGATAGTCAGTTAAGTGAGGAGTAGGTATACACACACACAGAACTCTGCATATAACTTCAGGAAGGCTTGCAAGAGCTCATTCTAAGATCTCAGCTTAAAAGTTCCCAGTATCGAATGACAGGTGCACAGAAATAGAAGTCTGGGGGGAAAAGCACTAAGAAGGGAGGCAAAGAACAGAAGTCTGGAGAGGAATAACCCACAATTTACAAAGAAAACAAGGAACAAACAAATATTGACTAGAATCCTAAGGAGAGTTTCAGAAAGCCCAAGATTGTCAAATACAACAGCAAAACTCAGTAAATACCAAGTAGACTATGTTCAATGGATTTAGTAACAAATAGGGTCACTTATCAAATGCCATTTCAGTACGGTAGTGAGGGCTGGAAGCCAGTTGAATGAATGTAAGATGAAGAGTAGGGTTTCAGAAACTTGGCTGGGAACAGAAAGAGGTAGGGAGAGAGAGATAAGTGATAATAGAGAAGTACATGGGTTCTCCATGAGGCAGAAACAGCTCAAGGCCAGCTAACCACAACAAAAGAAGATGGGGGGGGCTTTTTTTTTTTTCCAAATAGCACAGATATGAGCATTTCCAAATACTTGGCAGTAAGGAGCCAACAGAAAGATTAACAAGAAGTAGGAGGTAGCGAGAAATAGGGTAGGGCAGGGGACGTGGAGACAGGAAATCAAGGGAGTTCCTAACTCAAGGCCAGTACTTTCTCAAGAAATAACACTTTCCAATAAATTAAATGTCATATGCCAACATACTGCTCAGATGACCAGCATACTATGTGAGGGAAGAAATGTATGAGGAGAAAGAAAGATTCAAAATAACTGATGTAAATTTTGAGAGTAAATTCTTTAGAAGGCCTATTTCCTTAATTAATAAACAGTACTGATCAACTATATGTGACACTGCTTAAATTATTCTATAACTTCACTTTAACCTCAACTGCTAAAACGCAGCAGGAACTCTCTGTCTTAACGTTCTCTCATAGATGAGTTCTGGGGGTTAATTCCACCAAGTATAGAATTAGCCTATAATGTTTTGTTAAAGGAGTCCTCGGGTGGGTAAATGGTTAATGCACTCAGCTGCTAACCCAAAAACTGTAGGTTCAAGTCCATCTAAAAGTGCCCCAGAAGAAAGGTCTGGTGATCCACCTCCAAAACACGAGCCTCTCAATGCCCTATGGAACATAGTCCTACTCTGACACACATGGAGTTGCCATGAGTCAAGGTATGAAACATACTAATTAAGTTGTTTCAGGGGTCTAGGACAGTCAAGTGGTTTACACCAGCTTGTCAGCATTGTTTACTGTGAACGACGATCTGTACCTGGTCTCAGGGAAGCCCCCCAGAGGGCTCTGCTGTAGAAGCTAGTTACATAACAGGAGTATGTTCACAGGACCAGCAAAATATAAAAAAGCCCAGCCATGACTCCATTTTAGGCTCCATGGTTCTGAGGTATTCCGAGCAAACATCAGTGGTTTCTGATCTGAGACCTTACAAAAGAGAGAACAGAAGTCTGCACCTGGCCTCTCACTGGATGTCTTACTGTGAAAAATCTTTGACTGTGACACTTATCCTTAAGTTAACACTGCTGTTATATTGTATTCATTTTCTGTAATAAACTGTAGATTAATAAGCATTGTGATTTTGGGTCCTGTGATTCTTCTTCTGCAACTGAACCCTGTGTTAGCCATGTACTGTTAGTGCAACAGGCCTATTCCAGTAACTCTAACATTCGTTTCTGAAAAGAAAAAATTCCAACTTATTCTCCATCCATATTTACTAACAGAGCAGAGATGAACATACAGGTCTCATGACTTCTGCCCCATAGCTACAGGTCAATACAAACCTGTTATTAGAAAAGTATAAAGTGTAGCACGTAAAAGTGAGTCACTAGCATCAACTTTTTAAGGAAAGCGTATTTGCCAAGTATATTGTAAGAACAAAAGAAAACAGACAAATGTTCTTTCAATACCTTCATATTTTTCCATAGCCTGTATGACATTAGGAAGTTGATTTATACCCTGATAGAGTTGGTAACAGTTTTGTAAGTTTGCTGCTTGTCTTTGAAATTTCTTGGCAAGTCGGTTAAGATCTGGGAATCGACGAAGTAAATCTTCTTGTAAACTCTGCCTCAATTCCGCATCTTCAACAAAGGCTTCCACTAAATTTAATCTGAAATAAATTATAGCAGAATTAATCTTAAATATTTTAGTATAAAATTATCATTTGTCAGCTATGCATATAAATTTCACCTGTCAAAAATACGTGTAAAAGCCTCACTCTATTCTGAAATGTTAGATGTTTACTTTACGAGTGTGGAAAAATCCACAAAACTGTGATGCAAACATTTCCTAATTAGCTAACAACCAAATCAATGCTTTTAATACTGTCATAATACTGAAATATATCCAGTTTTGTTTGGCTTTCATCAAACTGATGTTTCTTAAATAAAAGGAAGAATTTCATTATTGGGACACTGTTGTTACTGACAAAGTCCTAGGTGGTACAAACAGTTAACATGCTTGGCTGCTACTTGACAAACTGTAGGTTAGAGCCCACCCAGAGGCAGCTCAAAAAAAAAACAACCTGGTAATCCACTTCCAAAATACCAGCCACTGAAAACCCCATGAGCACAGTTCTATTCTGACACAAATGGGGTGACCATGAATACAGTTGACTGAGTACCAACTGGTAAAGCAGTAAAGCTTGATGTTACTGACACATTATTATAAATATAAACAATATTTAATGGACAGAATCACAGTTCAAGAATGTTGCCAAATTCAATATTTATTCTATCAGTCTTTTAAACTTTCATAATGCTTTCCAAAACTACCTCATGACAATGGAAAAATAGTTTTATTGCTCCTAAAAGTCAATAAATAAAATTTTTAGCTTGGTTCAAGAACTATACAACATATTGATGTTTCAATTTATTACAAACCATTGGCTTTCCATTTTTTTACTATAATCCACAGCAAGAAATCCATTTTTACATCATGACCCAGTACATGTGTACAGATAAACCTTTAAAAACAGGTTTCAAAACAAAAACTGTTCACTCTTAATAGATGCAATGCACTCTGATTACTATTTAATTTCTCAGAAATACTGAATCACAGCCTCCTCTAATCTGAGGCCAGAACTAGATGGTTCTTGGCTACCACTGCTCACCACTCTGACCAAGACCACAAAAGAAGATCCTGGTTAGAATGTGTTTTGTTTTAAATGTAGAGTAAAATCCAAAACAAAAGAAAAGGCCAGAGTTAATTGTCAGAAAGAGACTAGGGAAACCCCCAAGACTGTTGCCTTGAGAAAAGTTTTTACCTTAAAACTGAAGATACTCCTGTTTTGGTTACTTCATGGTGCTCTAACAGAAAAGATCACAAATGAGATGGCTTTAATGAACAGATGTTTATTCTCTTACAGTTCTGGAGGCTAGAAGTCTGAGTTCCAAGTTCCAGGCTCTAGGAGCTGGGTGAAAGCCCCTTGACCTTGGCCTTCAGCTCTGCCTCTTGCTCCCAGCCCACTGGAGCTAGAGGTATCTCTTCACTCAGGCAGTTGCTAACTGCTGAGGCTAACAAGCCCAAGGTTGACAAATACAAATGGCACAGGCCCAATATTATCAGCAGGTAATTCAAGTCAAGAGACAGTTCCAACATTAAGCTCAATTGGCATAACATACTATATAAAACACTGTTCCACCTCCTACTTTGGCAAGTAGTGACTGGGATGTTAAAAAAGCTAGCAAGCTGCCATCTAGATGCAACGATGGGTCTCTCCTCGTCTAGAGCAAAGAAGAATGAAGAAAACCAAAATTCATGGAAACAATTAGTCCTAGCAACTAGTACACCATCTGATCTGCAGCCTATACGACGATGAGCCCAGAAGAACTAGATGATGCCCGGCTACCACTGACATCCACTTGGAAGGGGATCTATGTAGCAGACCCTGGATAGAGAGGGAGAACAATGTGGAACAAAACTCAAAATCATTTGGAGAAGAAAAAAAAAAAAAAAGGTGGGGACCAGGATTGCTGGTCCAGTAGAGCCTGGCGGAACCCTAAGGCTATGGCCCCTAGGTGCCCTTCAGGTCTGGAATTGAACCCACACCTGTGGTTTCCAGCCAAACAGAAGACAGGCATATGAGTTGAACATTTACCTGAGGTAGATACACTCCTTGGAGAGAACAATCATGGGAGAAAGAAGGGCTGCCTATGCACAGGGAGACAGCTTAGGGGGCAGGAGTCCATGGAGGGATAGACACTGGGAAGAGGTAACTATGGGGAGGAAGTAGGAGGGAAGCTTTTGCATTGTGGTAAACTGTGGTCAATGTCATGAGACAGTAAATGTAAACTACTGTATGGAAAGTGAATTTGCTCTGTAAATCTTCACCCAAATCACAATAACAAAATAAATAAATAAAAAGAGACAGTTCCAAGACTGGCAGGAAACGTGGCAGGATGCTAAATGAAGGCTAGCATGCCAAAAAGCTGGAGACCACTCCCAAAGTTTCTCCCTACATACTGGAAGCAGACCACATCAGCTGACTACTCAGCTCCTCATGGCAGATTCCACCAAGGCATTAATTGCCAGTCTTATCATGGGGAATAATTACAACCAGCTGCCCAGGCAGTCAAAACTAGGCCCAGCCAAGTTGACACATAACCACACTCCCAGAGGCCACCTTCCAGCCAAATTACAAAATAATAGATAGGACTATAAAATAGATGATGTGAAGAATATGCCCCTTAGAACAATCGACTATACAAGAGCAACAAGGTAACATCTGCTCAAAACCAAAGATGAGAAGATAGGAAGGGACACGAAAACTAGATGAATGGAAACAGGGAACCCAGGGAGGAAAGAGGGAGTCCTGACACATTGAGGGGATTGAAACCAGTATTTGTGTATGAACCAACGATCTGGTAAACTAATTTGCTATGTAAACTTTCACCTAAAGCATAATTTTAAAAAATAATAAAATAAAGAAAACCCTACAGAGCAGATCTACCCTGTAATACATGGGGTCATCGGGACTCAGAACTGAATCCATTTGGTCAAATGGTTTTGTTTGTTATGTTTATGAGGCCATGACTATAAAGTGTGTCTTAAACTAATGATCTTTTTGAAATTTAGTTTGCTTTTTTAATTTTGCTGAAAATATACACTGTCAGAACACTTAATTGTGCTCATGAGGAACTTATAAATACACCAAAAGGAAGTCATTCAAACAGAACAAGGGGATACTAAGTGATTTAAAATAAATAAAGCTGTCCATCACGGTTGTATCCTTTCACCATACTTATTCAATCTCTATGTTGAGCAAATACTAGACTATATGAAAAAGAACATGGCGTCAGGTTAGGAAGGAGACTAATTAACCACCTGCAATACGCAAGTGACACACCTTGCCTGCTGAAAGTGACAAAGATTTAAAAATAATGAAGATCAAAAACTACAGCCTTTAGTATGGGTTATACTTCAACTTAACAAAAAAATCTTCACAACTGGACCAATAAGCAACATTATGATAAACAGAGAAAACAGTGAGGTTGTCAAGGATTTCATTTTACTTGGATCCACAACAATGCCTATGGAAGAAGCAGTCAAGAAATCGTGACATATTGCAATGGGCAAATGGGCTACAAAAGACTTCCTTCAAGTGTCTAAGGGGAAAGATGTCACTTTTAAGACTAAGATGTGCCTGAATCAACGAATAAAAACAAACCCACTGCAATCAAGTCGATTCCAACTCATAGCCACCCCAATGGATTTCCAAGGCAGTAGATCTTTATGGAAATAGACTGCCTCATCTTCCTTCCCTGAAGCAAATGGTAGGTTTGAACGGCTAACTTTCTTAGGCACTGTGTCATCAGATTTCCTTGCACCTGAGGCAAGCCATTGTCTTTTCAATAGCCTCATATTCATGTAAAAGTTGGACAAGGAATAAGGAAGACCACAGAAGAACGGATGCATTTGAACTGTGGTGTTGGTGGAAAATACTGAACATACCAAGGATTGCCAGAAAAATGAACAACCCTCTCTAGGGAGACGTACAACCAGAATGCTCCTCATGGAGCAATGGTTATCTGCTGAGCTGCTATCCAAAAGGTGAGCAATATGAACCCACTGGAGGCTTCAGGGGAGAAAAGGCCTGGCAATCTGCTGCCATAAAGATTACCAAAACCAAACCAAACTCACTGCCCTCTAGTCGGACCCAACTCATAGTGACTCCTCCTTGGGTTCCCAAGGCAGTATCACTGTTATTGTTGTTGTTATTGTTAAGTGCCGATGAGTCGTTTCCGACTCATAGCGACCCCATGCACAGCACAACGAAACACTGACCGACCCCACGCCAGCCCCACAATCCCTGCTACACTTGAGCCCATCATTGCAGCCACCGTGTCAATCCATCTCATTGAAGGCCCCCCCCCTCTTTCATCGACCCTCCACCCTACCAAGCATGACATCCTTCTCCAGGGAATGGTCCCTTCTGACAACATGACCAAATTAGGTGAGACGATGTCTGGCCATTCTTTCTTCCAAGGAGCATTCTGGCTGCACTTCCTCCAGGACAGATCTGTTAGTTCTTTTAGTAGTCCATGGTACTTTCAGCATTCTCCGCCAGCACCACAACTCAAAAGCATCAACTCTTCTTTGGTCTTCCTTATGCATTGTCCAGCTCTCACATGCATAC